GGCAGTCCCCCTCACAATGCTGCGGGGGACTCTCGAGCCCATACAAAGAAATATACATTGTAACATAGTGCTATTCTTTGTCTAGTTATAGTGGAGAAGACTTGTATGCGGCAGATGATAGAAGCTGAATCTTGACTGACCTAACCTTTCGCATGTGCTCACACTGAGTGACCTGAGCCTATCGCACACCGTGATTCCCATTGCACGCCCTTTCTTTCCATCCCCCCGCCCCCCGGCAGGATGGCAAGGATTGCCCTACCTTGGTGGGTAGGGTGTGGGCGGGGCGCACGGCACGGGCACTGCAGTAGCGGAATGGTGAAGATTCATAGCCACAGTGCTGCCTCAAAGACAGGAATAACCTGTGTCAAGCTTTACGTTCGCCGCGAGACGACGACGTGAGTAAGCCTGTTTAGTCGTATACGGCAGCAGGTGCACGTAAGCCTCCGACGCCGTGCGGAGGAGGAAATTCTCCAGGCGCGTTAGACGCAGGACTCGCTTTAGCTCATCCTGTTGGGACGTGCTTGCCCTGCTCGTCTCAACACACAGTTTCCGGCTTCCTCCTCGAATTCGCCCATGGGATCCAAATTTTGCCTCCAACTACCATGGAAGATGCATAGTTCCTGGTGCAGCAACTAACACTTGACTCTCAAGGCATACCTGGTGAGCTCATGACAAGCAGAAGTCCAAGAGCGAATTCAGAATCGTCCTGTGGGACGACGGCCACTCTTCCTGGTGACACGGGGGCAACAGAACCCGGGAGCGCGACAAGTTAACTTTCGCACCTACGATGACGTGACGCAAGTTAATTGAATCGTCTAGCATACTGTAGATTTCTACGTTTTGCCTGCGTGCCGAATTGGCCACCCAGCCTCGAAGTGTGGCCAAGCTTACGCAGCGGACATCCACTGCATCCAGCACCACTCGGCCCGACTGCATTTGGCATGGAATTACCAGGAAAACAAAACTGCAAGCAGCACGTCTATGCACGTCTCGTGTTCTGCAACATTTACTGGAGTGCATGCGAGACTGCGCAGGTCTTATAAGGGTGCCTCGATGTAGCAGCAGCGCAGGACGGCTTTGAGAAGGGAGGACTTGCCAGAGCCTTTCGCACCGGTCACCAGGAGTGCCTGCCGCGGCCACACGCGGCCGGACCCCGACCCCGGCCAGGCGCAGGTTCTCTGGCCTTCCCAGGCGGCAGCTGCAAGGAGCAGCTGGAAAGCGCCGGCGACAAGCCTGGGCCGTACCTCTCAACGCAAGAACGCCACTCCCAGTTCGCAGGTGGCAGGCGCCATGCCTCACTGTAACCTTCTCGAACTCAATGGCACCGAAGTAAGGCCAGTCACCCGGAACCTGCCGAGTCTGGTGGTAATCGTGAAGTGTTGCGATGCGCACTGCACTGCACCTTCTCCATGGGAAAGCCAGCATGAGAGATGGACTGGGACTGGCACGGCACCTCTCTGCGGCCCAACTCACTGAGTGACAAAGCCGCGTGACTGGGCGCCTGCGGCTCCGCCAGCTGGGCCAAGGTCTCATTCTCGACCAAGACGTCTCCCAAAGCCACCTCGCGAGCTCGAAGCCGCGTCTCAAAGTGTCAGACACGGAGACCGTGAGCCGAGCCTTGCCGCTTCGGGCCACCACCGCGGGCTTGAAACCTCAGAGAAGCCGTGGGCTAGGAACTGACGAGTGCGGTGTGTCCGGTGTGGCATGCCTCGGCTCTCAAGCTCCAGAGTCGCAATCGGGCTTTCGAGCTCTTCGGGCGAAGCTTCCTCGCAGCATCAAGGCAACGCATCGGGACGTTGCTAACAAAAACGGGTGCCAGTGCCAAGATGGCCGCGGGACCGTGAAACCGCACATTCAGAAAATAAGAACTGAAATCGCACAAGGAACGGCGTTCATGTGCAAGAAAGGAAAGCAGACCAACTATGCAGCTCGAAAACCGCACCTTGCAAGTCTGCGCCATCCGACGCAGAGCGGCCAAGCCGTGCGTCAGCTGAGCCTCGAAGTCGCCACAACGGGCGACAACACTGAAGAACAAGACTGGCACGTGACAGCTCTAAGATAAATGAACACACACACACACACAGCCACATTCACGTGCACATGGGCATGTCCATGTGCGAGAGGCGTGTATGCAAGTAGGTGGTTTGAACTGGTGTGAGCTTCTGTGGCTCCGAATCTTCCCCGTGCTCCGCTGTGCTCCGCTGTGCTCCGCTGTGCTCCGGACTCCATGTTTCACAAACTCGATCAGGGCATCCGGCACCAAGGCCACCTGGAGCCGTCTTGACGTCCCAAGCCAACTGCACCCTTTACTGAGGCCACGGAGGCCGCGGCTTGGACCACAGAGGCCACAGCAACAGCAAAGCCAAAGTCGGAAGGTAGGCTCTGCGCCTGCAAGGCCGTTGCCGCAATTCGCCCGATTGAAACCATTGGAAACAGACATACATATAGATAGATAAATAGATAGATAGATAGATCGATCGATCGATAGATAGATAGATAGATAGAGAGAGAGAGAGAGATAGTATATATATATATACATGTGTATATATATATATATGTATGTATGTATGTATGTATGTATGTATGTATGTATGTATGTATGTATGTATGTATGTATGTATGTGCGTGCGCGTGTGTGTGTGTGAGATTGGTGCCTGAGTCATCGCTGAGAAGGATAAGAGTCCAAGCAGCAGCGCGACCAAAGTGTGCAGGCAGCTGTACAGCCACCTGGCGGGTAACGGTTTGGAGAGGTGTTTTGAGTTGAAGACACGCCAGACTCAAGACAAGCAACAGGCTGTACAAGACTCGAATTGCTGGGAACTCAGGACGGTTTCGAGGTGCCCTCACCCGACAGTCTGTAAAGGCCTCTCCGCAGCATCGGATGCAAGCCCGGCCAATGCAGCATCTTTACAGCAAGCCTTGCTTCAGGTAGTGAGGTGACTCGCGACAATGCAAGGGAGCGCTGAGCACTCGCACATGCTCTACTTCGCACACAGGCTTTCTCGGGAAGTTAGCAGTTCACCGACGGGCCTACCTCGCTTTCGCATGATGCTTTCCGCTCGGCCTCGTAGTTCTTCCACAGGGCGTCGCCATGGCCGTGAAGGCACATAGCCTTCGACAAAGCGCGAGAAAGGGAGGGCCAAAACAGCGTCGGCTCGGCGTCTCCCTATGCCTCGTGACACTCGGTGAGGTGCAGCAACTGCAAGGCCTCGACTGTGGCCATGCGACGCGGCCCGTGGTCTTTCCAGGCTGTGCCCCTGACCGCAGCAGCTTCGCTGCGATTGGCAAACCGGCGAAGCCTCCAAAACGCCCGTGCTCAGAGCAAAGTCTACCTGCGCAACCTGTGACTGGGACTCCCACTGCTGCACCAAAGACAAACGTCGGTGGTGAAAGTACATCGCGGACCTGGGGGCGCTTTCTGAGGCTCATGGACGCACATATGCCCAGTGCTCTAGAAGCTTAGCGAGGCCACCTCAACCAACATCTCGCGGAGAGCCCGCCGAGGTACAACTAAGAGTGGGACGCCACGAGGATGGTGAGCATCACTGCCGGGACGGCCTGCCGGCGGCACCGATGCTATCCGAAAGAGTAATGAGTAATGAGTAAGGAATGGAGCACCTGACGGCTGCACGCAGCAGCTGTGCAGAGAAATGCAGCCAGCACCTGGAAAATGATGCAAACCAACCAAATGCCAAAAGCACTCTCACGAGTCTTTGAAGATCTGTGAGGCTTTCAGTCGCCCACTTGGCACAAAGCCAAAATGCAGCGTGGGAGGGCCGAGGGCCTGGCATCACCACAAGCACAGTGTTCTACAGAGAGAGAGAGAGAGAGAGAGAGAGAGAGAGAGAGAGAGGCTTTCTCGGCAAAGCGAAACGAAACGGGCAGCACAGGAAGTGATCAGCATCAGCGACGTCTTGCAGGAGGCTGTGCCTCAATGAGCACACTTCACAAGTCTACCTTCGGCCGTCGCTTCTGCCAAGCCACTCGGACTGGCGTCTTGACCTGCCTGGCTGTTGGAGGTCCTCGCACCAAGTCGGACAGCAGAGTCTTGAGAGCGAGATTCGCAGGTGCGCGCTTGGGAGTGTTGATTGCAGTGCAGCGTCGCATAGCTATCGCTTTAGTGACCTTGGTGCGACGCACGCGTGATCGGCCCCCCTCGCGGTGGGGATCTTGGGGACGAGAATGGTCAGCTCCGATCTTTCCGGGGATGCCAGCTGTGTAAATCATGTCATTGAGCAGCTCCTGAATCCCCCGCCCCTTTATGCGTCGTCGGCGGGTAGTGCCTGGGCCCCCTGGGCTGCTTCACGTGAAACGCCATCGGGTCCTGTGCTTCATTTTTTGCCCAGGTTTGAGGCTCCCCGACTCCCCGCTCCCCTCTACATGTTGGGTGCTTCGCCACATGCGTCCACTGAATGTCTGTTGGAGGTATAGTTGCTGCTCTTGTGGCTTTGTTGCGTTCTAAGCTCCGCATGGCCCGCCAGGCTTACTCGACAAGGTGCTTCTGCGATGTTCTATGCTCCTGCTTGCGTCGATCGCCGACAGCTTATGATAGCTTTGCACGCGGCTGGTGGGGTTCGGGGTTCCGGCGGGGCTTCCCCCCGAAGACTCTTGGCTCTGGCCATGATCTGAAGCAGCGTGGTCTTTGCCTTTGATGAACCCCCCCCGGCGCAAAGGCCTCGGATGCAGAAATAATCCAAGCGCCGGGTTCGTTTGAGGGGTTTGTAGCTTGAGCTCGCCGGTTTGGAGCCACTCAAGTGCTGCCTCTCCCTCGCCGTGTGTAGGCGTAGCATCCCACTCCGCTCCAGCGGCCTGGCACTGCCTTGGGAGTCCCTTGATGCCCCTCCACACTCTTGGCGTTGCTCTGATTTGCCATAGAAAAGCCACTAGTGTGGACGCAGCCTGGCGGTGATGCTTTTCTGCAAAACTGAAGGTCGAAGCAGTGCAAATCAGCTCTAAACCGGAAAGCCTCGAGCACCTCCAGCACCTTGTCTTCTTCAAGTCGCCCGAATTCGTGTCCAGGAGCATTCGTCCCGCTGGAGAGCGTGTGAAACATGCTGTTCGGGGTCTCCCTGAAGTCTCCTCAGCTATCTCGGTTCGTGATTGGAGGGAGGGGCGGCTGTGCTCCTCGCGGTTCACGTGGCTTGATCCACTCTCTTCGAACTTCACCATTGGCTTCTCGCGACTGCCAAAGTGCGTCCCCATTGGTCGTGCTATTATGTCGTGCTACTTGCCCGTCATGTCCTGGCAAGCAAGCTTACGGTCTGTTGCAAACGGCATCTGGCCGGCGATTCAACGGTATCCACTCTGGACTGGAACCTTCGAACGTCCCCACGCATCTCCTCCGCAGTGTCCTCTCGCCCCTGATGGCCTCTCGCAGCATGTCGAGCTAGAGTGGTTCTACCTCGGCTCTCCGGTTCGTCTTGGTAGGCGAAAAAGCTTCTTTGTCCAAGTATGAGCATCTCGGCTCCGGCATGGCACCGCTTGCCTCTGTCGTTCTAGGCTGTTTGCGATGTTCGCTGAGTCGGAGTTGTGAAACGATCTCACCGTAGGCGGGCTTGCTCTCTCAATGCCGCGCGTGCTCAAGTTGTAGGATCGCCGATTTGTCAAAGTTTTCGGGGGACCCCCCCAACAAGAAGTCGCAGACGCCGAGGGGCTGATGGCGACAGGCAGTCCCTCCGCTTGCAGCACATTCTCGGCAAGCTGGGTTTCTTGGCAGACGTTTGTTGGGGATGGGGGGGGAGGGGGGGGGGGGAGGCGATTCTTCGCGAGAAAGCACGCTGCAAACGATTCTCCGTGGCAAAGGCTCGGTCCTCTCTCAGGCTTCCGGCGATGATGACGCCTTGTCCTCTTCGGTCGCCGCTAGGTTACACACAGCTTCTCGAAGAGCACCCAGAAGAGAGGTTTCCCCCCCCCCCCCCGCCCCCGGCCACCGATTC